ATATTAGAGCAAACATTGTGTCAAAAAAATTAAATTTGAATTTCTATGAGAAAAATACTGTAGCAAAAAGTTTGATTTGCAATTCAAATTATGAAAGGAACAAAATTAATCATTGAATGTTAGTTTTTGATCATTTTAATCTCTAAAAAAAACTGACTATGGATTATTATAATTTAACAAAGATAATCACATGTATATTGCATGATAATTTAAAATTTTATAGATAGAGTTATGTTATATATAAATTTTATTTTTTCTTACTATTTTAATCAATTATATTTATGTTAAATTTCAGAAATTATTCATCAGTTTTAGTGTGTGAATCCTTTAAAACCAGATTTAATCTCAAATTTGATTCTCAAAAAATAGGATTATCTTGCCCCAACAGTTCAAAAAAAAAAAAAAAAACCGAACTTATTAGAAGTTACAAATTTGGTGTTTTTGTCAATAAAACTTCAATTTTTTAACGGTTTTAAACCAATGTGAGTGACGTGACTTATTTTTAAAAGATAATGTAGGAGGACAATGATGATGCAAGGTTTGTGAACAAAGGAGAAGACTATTTGAAAATAACAATTATGTAATACGAATGAATTAAAAGGAAGAGCATTTCCATGATACACATTTCAATTTGAAGAATGAAAAAAGGAAAGGAAAAATTGGTAGCGGAAAGCAACAAGGAGAAAAAAAAAAAAAGGACAAAAGGAAAGAAAAAATTGGAAGGAACCAACAATACACCACTTTCTTGATCAAAATCTTATAGCAGCTATAAAGGCTACGTCAATGAAATAACATTTTCGAGGATAAAAAAATTAAGTGCGGACATATTCAGAAAAAAAAATAATAATAATAACATGACAAGGACAAATTAGAAGGAGCAAGTATTTTGATGATATATGTCTCAAAATGAAATATATAAGATTGTGAGGCAAATAAAACAAGATGAGGGGAAAAAAGGACAGAAACAAGAAAAACCAAATAAAAAATAAATTGAAACAAAATTTGGAAGTAACGTTTGATAAACAATATTTTAGATGATGCAAAAGAGACTTAAGTAAGGTCATATTTAAAAAAAAAAAAAAAATTGTTGTGTAATAGAGATAAATTAAAAGGAAAAAGTATTTTGATAATAAGCATTTTAAAATGAAGATATAACGTCATATACAAGAACAAAAAAAGAATGTGAAGAGATAACCTTTAAGGAACCCTATAACTGTTGATTGCCATCAATTAAGTGAACGATTTAAATTCTTAAGGAACCTCAATTTTTAATTGCTCCCAACATGTAGAGATAACCACTAGGTTTAGGATAAAATTTTCTTTTAAAAGAAATTATAATAAATTTTATAAATGCACACCAAAAGTATGCACCTTTTGTCAAATTGTCTCCAATTTTTTAAGAGTCATTGTTCTCTCTTAACTACACAACGCTGTTCAAAACGCTCATTTGTCTATAATAGGATTATTCCATAAATGTCTATGAACTAGAGACCTAATATCAATTTGCCTCAAGATTTTTTAAAAAGGGTAATTGTACACCCTCAACTACATAAAATCATTTGACAAACATCTTCTGTTTAGATCCATCAATAATACTAATGGAAGGCTAACGTGACACTAATTGTCATTTTATAAATTCCCCGAGCTATTATCTTATATTATTTTAACTTAGCTTCACATATTCCACTAAATAAATTTAGAGAATGGCGTCTCTGGAGTCTCTTTGGCACACTAATCAAATATCTAATTAATATCCCAAGATTATTGGACTGCTGAGCAAGTCATAATCCATCATACGATGCCCTGATTTGCATTACAAATTAACACAGATTTGGAGCGCAAAAACATAATCAGACTCTTAATTTAAGTTTTGATTCGCTTTAATAAATTTCAAAGGTTACAACGCAATAACTTTAATTAGCTTTAACATAATACATGGAAATGTTTTCAGTCTTGTGGCCGTACCGGTCCAATAAATATAACATCTTTTGTTTATCATTGTTTACACGGAGGCCGTACCGGTCCAATAAATATAACATCTTTTGTTTATCATTGTTTACAATTGTACGTTTGTGTAACACTCATTTTATTTAAGTGTAACACTTAATAAAATTTAGCCTTCTACAGCTTCATGTTATACCAAAAACTTATAAGCCATCTAAAAAATATTACACTTATCATATTGTACGGCCACTAGACTCAAGATTGTACCTGTATATATAATTCCACATTTAAATGAAAACATTACACTGAAGATAATCTATGATAAAAGTTCCCTTGATATATTTATTATTATTTTTTAATATTTTCTCTTTTCACTTTTTTGGCTTGGGTAAATTGGATGAACTTTTGTCACAGAGAACGGAGAACGAAAAATAGCGAAAAAAAGGAAAATAAATATACAATCACACTAAGAATTTTTATACAGATTCACTAATTTAGCTATGTCTTATTTTTGTCACTGCAGATTTTTACTATTTTTGTTAAAAAGGTTTGTCACAGAAAATCACTAAATCACTTTTATGTTTCTCTCACCGTCAACGGTGTTTTTAGCCTCTCACACTCTATTTTTTCTTCAGAAAATCGCAGCCCAAAAAAACCCTGATGATCGTGCCGCGGTGCCCATTGCTTGACGTTGCGGCACCCAGGGGAACATATCCTAAGCGTCACGCCGCACTTGCCCAGCGCTGCGGCGCTGCGCGTGGAAATTCCACGCGACGTCCTCGTCTAGCACCGCAGCACCCATTATCTGGGGCCGCGGTGCTGCATCTTTGTTTTCTTCTTCGTTGATTTGGCCCCACACCCCAACAATACCCATCGTGATATTAAAAGTTTTGGCAACCGGTAACTGTCGATCAGTATCCGCCAATATCCTATCGAAATACTTAGATATATTGTCCGTTTTGTATTAAAACTTTATTAAAAGATGGTATTGACCAGTCTTTGTTACCGTATTTGGGATGCTCTACAATACTATCAAAACTGTAAGCAAACGATGGTCATAGGCATACTACTATAGTTATTCCCGCCGAAATATTTAAAAAATCACCAAAATATTCATTTCTCATGACAATATATGAAAAATAACGCACAAAAATTACACCAAAAAATGGCTGCCATGAAGATCTGGTCTCAAAGCCAGTGACAATGTTTGCGAGTGTTGTGCAAGTCCCTTCCACGAGGCCTCATGCAGATTTGGGAATGGTGTCCTAAACTCCCTTTTTTTTAGTCGTTTTTTTTACTCTATTTAAAGCAATTCCAACGCGGTGTCAAATTTAATCATTATAATATTTATATTTTAAAATTATTTTAAATTTAAAAATCTATTTTTACAACCTTCAAAACTTAATTATTGTGACAAAAAAATATGTAGCATGTAAAATAACATTACACATTTGAATACAAATCATTTTCAGTGAATCTCGTGGCGAACACGTCCTAGATCTACGGTTGAAAAACAGCAGCCTTTTCCCCTTACACGACTCCAAACCGGAGACTTCTCACACCTCCAACGGCACAAACTCGACGATAACCTTGGCGACATTCTCAACTGTAGCATACAACATGAGGAAGGCAAACCATAGAGCAAAACAAAACCCAAATCTGCCAAGATCGACCTTACCCATGTATGTAGGAGCACCACCCACCTACAAAATAAGGCAAAAAAACAAAACAAAACAAAACAAAACTTAAAGAAAAGCAAAAACACACAGGGCCGGGACGCTAGAGACCGTCAGGAGGCGGCACAGTCAACTCTGGCTCCTACAAAACGTAGACTTGTCGATGACCTCTTGAGACACTAGAGACCGTTAGGAGGCAGCGTAGTCAACTCCGGCTCCTACAAAAATGTAGACTTGTCGATGACCTCTTGAGTGGAGAAACCCTAGCCACGCAGAGGTGGGAGAGAGAAAAAAGGGCACGCTTTAGAGATTTTTCTTTGAATGAATTTGGTTTGTTTTGAATTGTATACTATAATGATTATTATGTTACAAAATAATGCAATAATTATTATAACTATTTTAATTTATGCTATTCGAAGTTTAATAATAATTTTTGTATTTTATCATGACTAGTAAGATTATAATACATGATTAATAAAGGATAAAAATTAACATGAAAATGCCATCTTAATTCAATTTTTCAAGAGTCTGAGAAGGTTAAAATTTCGAGAACTTCGACGACAGGACTTATTCTTTACATAAACTATTCTTTTTTTACTGGCGGTATGTTTTTGACCTTGAAATAAGATTTTAAGGTATAACCTCTGAAGTCCACGTTAACAATCTACATGCGACATAGAACTGTTACAATAATAAAACAGATCATTAAAAATTCAATACAACATTATCAATTTAACCGTAGCTAACGATAATTTTTTTTTTTTTTTTTTGAAGTCCACGTTAACAATCTACATGCGACATAGAACTGTTACAATAATAAAACAGATCATTAAAAATTCAATCCAACAGTTGAAACAACATTATCAATTTAACCGTAGCTAACGATAATTTTTTTTTTTTTTTTAAACCAAGTGCTATCGAATAAATACCCTAAAATTGTGTGTTGAATGTGAATTATCGTTCACAAGAGAAACTGGGAGAACCTAAAGGATAACAATGTCAACTATATCAAACTATTTAATCCCATTAGCCCCAAGCCTGGCTTGAATTACATGTCCGCAGAATTTTCTTGTGAATTTTCTTGTGGAGCTGATCTACAAAAGCTCAGTCCAAGTGATGAGAAATCAACTTCAAGAACAAACTACGTAGTTTACAGCACTTTGCACCTTCGGTTTGAACTCGAAACATGCGCGTTGTTACACTTAACTTGACAATACAGAAGAAATATTATCGTCCATTTCAATGTCAACGGCTACAACACATCAGAAAAGATTTATAAAGAAAAGGAATTCAAAACAAAACAAAATATAGCGCTGAATCTGGTGCAAAAATGAATTTTTACAGCGTAGTGGAACGTAGCAGTAAAGTTACAACGTGTTCATATTGCCATTTAAAAAAAAAAAAAAAAAGAAAAAGAAAGAAAGAAGAAGACTTGGCTCACAATCAAAACCAAAAGAAAACTAGAATAATATCTATAAGATTTATCTAGACCTTAAGGTCAAAAGAATTGATCTTACAGTTAAAAAACAAAAATACATGTTGAAGATGACCTCTTCCAACACCTCCCAGGCAGTTACCAAGTTCCAACTCTTTCTCTTACGTTCTAGGTTATAGCCCTCCTTGCCGCTTAATTCGTGGCTGAGTGAGGACAGGAACTACTAGAGTTGACTTGCCGCTTAATTCGTGGCTGAGTGAGGACAGGAACTAGTAGAGTTGACCGATAAACTCATACCATCAGATCCAGGTGCACCGCAGTCTGAAGATTTCTTGGCAACATTGTACGGCGATGTGCTTATCACCCTAAATGCAAACAAAATTGTTTTCAGCCACAAGCTATATAGCAACTCAACAACGGACAAGTAAAGAACAAGTGAGCAAAGTACATTTTCACACATCACAAAACCCCCGTCTGCCTAGTGGTTGTACCAAAAAATACTTGGCCGGAACCTAACGTTTTTAGACATACAGATCTTGTAATCCTAAGCCCACAACAGATTAATTTAATCTAAAGAGCTATCTTCACATACTGAAATTTTAAAGATACAATTCAATAGATGTTGGAAGTGCTATTTGATTTCTCAGCTGAAACAAAATGCAAGGTTCCATGACTACAAGATAATTGGATTATAATGACCTGAATACAGTAATGACTAGACTAGTCACCAGATTAGTGGATAGATACATTGGTAGCTAGAGAGAGAGAGAGTCTGCAACAAGAGATCAGATTGAAACCAAAAACCAGTCCCAATACTAGAGAAAGAAAACGAACGACACACATCTTTTCTAAAAAGATTTAAGTCTAGACGCGGACAAGAAGAATAAAAGTGCTGCTATTCATCCTCATTAAGCAGCAGTGAAATTTCAAGCAAGAACACTAGCTTCTATAGATTCATCATCTGCCAAAGGCAGACATGATTTTGTGCCGTGAAAAGGAACATGTTTTACTACTGTTGAGATTGGGCTATCATACAGAGAGAAAGAAAGAAAGAAAGGGAAACAAAGATCCTAACGATCAAACTTTGGACCATTGTTTCTCTACAGTTGCACCAACTAAAACCAAAAAAAAAAAAAAAAAAAAAAAAAAAAAAAAACAAAAAAAAAAAAACACGAACAAAAAGTTTCTCTACAGTTGCACCAACTAAAACCAAAACAAAAAAAAAAAAAAAAAAAAAAAAAAAAAAAAACCAAACAAAAAAAGCATGGACAAGAAAAATAGCTCATGACAAAAAGTTACCTCTCCTTGCGCTTCTCCAAAAACCTAGCCAAGGATGCTTTACGAGCCTGAGGGGCAGCTACTGCAAACCAAAAGAAAACAACACAAGTCATATGACACTGCTATCGACCTTGTATCTATAAGATCAATGATTTAAGAAGACTTTAACAACCATAGTTACAATAGTCACTGAAGACTATAATAGACTAAGTTATACCTGCTGGAATAGCAGTTGTCGTAGCAGGACCCACAGAATTGACTACTTTAGGAGGCTCTGAGTGATTACTAGAAGAAACTGAAGCTCCCACTGCTTTTACTATTGCTAATCCATTGGTATTTTTAGGTCCTCCTCCACACTGCGTATCAGAGCACATAATCACAGAAATAGGACTAGGAAGCTCTGAGAAGGACCAGCTCCTAATAAAACCATCAGCTGTTGAAGGCCTAGGTGCTGATGTTTCCACTGGAGCTGTGGAAACTGGCATATTAGGAGTTGGTGAAGACCCATTGCCAGCCAGTAACATAATAGCCTGGGCCTGAATAGAAGGTATGGATTTCTCATAAGTTAAGACCTAAAATGTCACATAAAAAGAAGACCCCAAAGAATAAAAAGATAAGAATGGGTGCGCGCGCGCGTGTGTTTTGTGGGGGTGGGGGGTTGGGGTGGGAGGAAAGATAAAAGAACCAGATCAGTGATAGTACCTTCTCAGGAGATATATCATCATAAACACTCACAGAACCCGCATAAAAAATAGTCATTTGAGCGGGAGCTCCAGAGGATTTGGAAATATTCCTACATAAGAAAAACAGTTTGAAATTTAGTACATTTTCTTCCAATAGACTTGATTGGATGTCTTGGTACGACCAGATTTTGCACAAAAACAAAATTCCTCTATACGAGTAGAACTAAGGTTCGAAGACATTTCCTAGATACCTGAGATCAGCGGTACCAAAAATGGAACTATTAGAGGGAATAGCAGGCACTGAGGATATAATTGGAAGCCCTCCAAAACACTGTGGCTTCATGGTAGAAGGAACCGCACTGTTTACAGTGGAAGCAATATGGGATTGAAAAGCAGGCGTGCTTAAAGCAACCGGAATTGTTTGATTGGGTTGGTTGGATGCTGCTTGGGGATGATAGACTGTCATCGAATAATGCGGTCCTGTTGCCTTCTCTTGAATACAATTTTTCTGCAAAGAAGAAAAGTAAGAGCTCAGTTGATACAATACCATAAAAGGATTAGCCTAGAAGATACAGAGTCCCAATAATTTAGCACGTTTGGTTAAAATTTTCAAACTTTAATAGTTTTTTACTTGATTGGTAAACTGAAAAGTACGAGCATTCTCTAAAAATTAAAGCCCAGAATTACAAGATATATACTGTTAAAAACCCCGATGAGTTATGGTTTCAAATTCATTTATCCTCTATTAATCTTTGGAAACTGCATAACCATGCTAAAGCTTTAAAATACGATTCAGAAAATAAGGCAGAGCAACCTTGATTGCACTCAAAAGTAAATCCCAGCAATACAAGGATATATAGTGTTTAAGACCCCAATGAGTTATAATTTCAAATTCATTTATCTTCCATTAAACTAATCTTTGGAAACTGCATAACCATGCTAAAGCTTTAAAACACGATTCAGAAAAGAAGGCAAAGAAACCTGGATTGCACTAGAGAATGGCTTCTGGTTTGTGTCAAAAGCATCAACAGTTGATATAGTCATCAAAGTGGATGATCCAAGAGGATCATGAACAGTCTTTCTTGGCCTGTTTTCTTGAGAGGCCTTAAAAGACAGGAATTGAGGAACAGCAGAAACCTTGTTTGAGAACGACCACTGCATCCCTGAATGCCTCTCAGGTGCTGCAAAAACAATTAAAAGAAAAAAGCACCCAGCCTACTCAATTTCTGAACAAAGAAACATCTAGTTGGATTTATGATCCAAGGTAACAAACCGTAATAAAAACACGTGCATTTCTGAACCTCACAACGTTGATACTAATCTGCCTAGAGTACCTCAGATATCAAATACTACTTAGCTAAGATATAGGTTCTCTCTTCTCAAGTAAAACAAAATTCTTTCCTTCATCCAATAGTTTATAGATCATAAAATATATCAATATTCTTGTTCATTGCACCTTTCAACTAAAACAAATGAACGTGATAAACATACCGCAACTAATTCATTTAAAGGAAAAATAAACGCTACATATGGTGATGGATCCTAACAATATCTCTACATAGAGGCTGGAACATCATACATACAATATTTTTCCTCAAATGGAGAAAGAGAAATGAAAACAAAAAATGAAGTGGGGAAATCGTGAAATACTTAAACACCATTAATTAGAAATTTAGAACGTCCGGGCTGCACTCTCCCTGACGAGGAGCCATTAATTAGAAATTAACATTAATTATATAATGCTTTTTTAAAACAATAATTTTCATTAGAATACTAGTTTACTAATTACTATATAACAAAAGTTTGTCTCTCTAGTCAGAATATTTTATGTAACATATTTATATTTATATTATAAAAGTTGGTAACAGCTGGCTAGGCACCACATTAAGAAGGAGGCAAATGCGAGAACGTACCAAAGTTCTTTTTTTTTCCCCCTCCTTTTTTTATAGAAAACATATTAAATGGTTAAAGTCCTTGTTATCAAAAGACGTGTTCAAATACATCAGTATTATTTTAATTTATCCATCATATTTATTTATATAAATGCTCCTATTGAGCAAGTTCCTTATTTAAAATATTGTATCACCTGGCCAGGAAATACAGTTCAGGCAAGCCAATTGTTTATATAATGTAAAACAACGTGATACATTAATTAAGATATGACCGCCTCATGCGCATCTTATGAAACAAGAAATATAATAGTTTATCAAACCCGACAAACTAAACATGAAAAAAAGCACTCCAAAACTATTTAAAAATATAATTAAATAGTACAATAAAACCAAATGACAACTCAGCCCACGTTTAATTTAGAAATAAATTAAAGGAAGAAAAAGAAAAGAAAAAAGAAACTAAAACCATGTTTTACAACCAACTCTCCATCCATAAACAAAAATGATATATCTTTCTATCATAGGCCCCGTCGATACGGCATGAGTTTAACCGTTAAATATGATTAAAATCTGATCAAAATAATAATATATATATATACACAGGCACCTTTTAATACAGACTGAAAAATATTATAAATGTAATACTACCAATAAAATATTCTTCCGTGTCCTACGTTAGGAATTTTTAATTTCTTTTTGACTAACTACAGAGATAAAATCATAACGTTCATCGAGTAACATCACTAGTGGTCTATTGGTGCTAACAGCCACATGCTTTAATCTTCATCCAAATAACATCAAGGTCTTTTATCACCCGCAAAATAAAATAAAAATAACATTAAAAAATCTTATGCTGTAAAGTCTACCAAAAGGTGACGGCAAGAATTCTTATTAGGGATCATATTTTTCTTTCTTTAGAAAAATATTGCTCTATCAAAATAGTTGACGAAGCCTCCTGGTGTTTTTTTTTTTTTTTAACTGTAAAAGCTGTGTTTGATAACTGAGAAAATGGATCTCAAAGAGGATCAAATAGAGTTCTAAATCCTCCGAAATGGAGAAAAACTAAAACCTATGAGGCTCAAAAGTAAAAATCATACGGCCAAAGTATCAGAACCTTGGATTCAAAATCTTAATCAGGTTTTATTTTCCTACACTTTTCCGACAACCAAACAGAGCACAAACTCAAAAGCTCAATTAAAAACATCAAATTTCATCCAACGAACCATTTCCCTTGGAATCCAAAAAGTTCCAAAAGAATTCAACAATTGACTCCACAAAAAATTTGCAAAATTACAGACCTAAAGCAAAATAATTCACGGATAAGGGAAAAAAAAAAAAAAAAAAAAAAAAGAAGGAAAATAGGTTAAAAAACGACAGAATCAAACCTGAATTCTTGGAATTATCGGCAGCTTCTTCTTTTACGATTGGCGAACCATTTTGAAAGCTTAAACCAAAGAAATCCCTCTCCATTACAAACGAAGAAAAACTCTGGAGTGGAAATTGTGCCTCAAGAGAAGTTAAGAATTCAGCTCGAAAATTTTCTCGACGATTTCTCGAATCCACAAATAAACAAAAGACAAGAAGAATCTTTGATTCATCCAATCAATGAACTCCGAATCTGAAGAAGAAGGGGAAGAAGGAAGAAGAAGCTAAATATTCTTGCTTTGTTAACCTGAGGAAGCAAAGAAGGTCTTGTATAGTGAAAAACGAGGTTATGATAAACTTATAATTGATCGCTTTTTCAATAGCTAGAAATGCCAAATCTGAACCGTTCGATTGTAAGATTGTTTGTGCTTATTTATTTATTATTATTATTATATTACTAGGTAAAATCTCCAATCCCGATACGCGTATATTTTTTTTTAAATATTTATATATTTTTTAAAATACGTATATTTTTTCTTAAAATATGTATATAAGTGTTTAGACAAATTATAAATATCTCTCCACATTATATATATTTTAAGAAAAAATATGTATATTTTTAAGAGAAAATATACATATTTTTAAAAAAAATATACATGTGCGCTCTAATCCGGTGTCAAATTGGAAACCATTCCTATATTATTATTAGGGAAAGATTGTTTGTCAATTAATATTCATGTGACTTTGGTCCTCAAACTTTATAATATTATTCTCTCAATTTTTTAGTCTTCGACTGTTTTAGTTCTTCGTTATGGGCCACTTTGGTAGTGTTGTAGATTTTATTTTAATTGTAAATTCTTCAAAAATTCTTTAAGAATAACTTTTTATAATTTTTACCAAACATAAATTTCAACTGTAAATGACTAGAGAATTAATTTTAGGCTCCAAAAATCACTACCAAACATACCTTATAACCACTTGTGCTCAATTGAGTAAAAATACCTTGTTGTGCTCGATTGAGTTACCTTGTCATACTTTCCTCATATTTGACCCTTTAATCAAAAGGGTCTTGTTATCGTTTTAGGCTCTGTCATTTTACCTCATTACTCTTAAATAAAGTATTAAAATTCCAATTATCAAGCAAAAATTTTAAATTTTGCAAATGTAGTTTTTAAATGCTAGATTTTGAAATTAGAACCGTTTTCACTTAATATAGCTACGTTCGTAACACGATCAGTTATATGTAATTAAACCAATGTTATAAAACACCGGTGGTATTACTGCGGGACCCACCTTTTATTAGATGGCGGTGTTTAGCACTGGTGGTGTCACGACCCCAAGGATAGAGCCGTGATTATTGAGCAAATTAAGTTTAATTAAACTGGATTAATTGAGGAAAATTCATGAAAATAAAATAAAATATACAAATACCAAAATAGATATTAAAATATATTACTCCGAAATTTTTCTTTTACAAACAATACTTAAAACAATCTATAAAGTTTAAAATTATACAACTCTGAAACAGTATCGACCAAATACAATTTATATATAGAAATACATTACAACACCGAATTAAAAACTACAAATTCAGAATAAACTAACGACTTCGAATCTCACGCATTCAATCCATCAACATCCATTTGCCATACTGTAAATCTAAACTGCAAACTCTAGAGGGAGCCATTAAAACATTGAAAATAGAGGAAAAGTGAGCGAAAGGTCCAATAGGATATAATTTTATAAAACTGAATAAATAAATGAAAGTACAGGCCCGAACAAATCATTCGGAACCAAACAACCTTTTTACTGAAAGATAAATAAACTGAAATTTCAAATTACAGGCAACCATCAAGTAATTTAAGTAATTAAATTACTTACGACCAAAGCAAGACCTTAACACCACCGTAGTGGCCCGTCTGAGCTTCGGATTCTGTCGCCAAGGATACGATCTCCATATCATATTTAGGCCATCAACAGGCTTACCAGTTCGCAAGGTATCTTAAAAAAATGTTCATTAAAAACTTGAAATCAGTCCATTGTGAGATCAATAGCGAAAATCAAGCTATTATCTTAAAAGTACTTTTCTTTATCAACATATCCTTATCTTTTGAAAACATTACTTTGTCAAAACATTTTAAAACATGCTAACAAGGATATAGGAAGAATATCCTACCTCTTGGTAATTTAATCTACAGATAACTTCACATTGCCCAACCGTTTATTCCTGAAGCTCCACAGCTCACTTTGAACCTCAATAAATTCATTCGATTCGCCTCGATCTGCGTGCATGATACTGGTAAACTTTTCAACGGAGTGGAATTTGTGCAAACAGAGATCACCATTGCGTTCAGCACGTCAAAATGAGTCGGGATATGGTCTCAAATCTTTGATCGGACGTCAGGAACCTTAAGAATTGAGACTCACCGGAATCCGGCCACCAGTTGCGGCCGCAGTGGCGGCGGAGGTTGCCGGAGTATATTTTCGTGGTGGAATTGGGTCCTACCGCCCCTAAATCGACCCTTCTGAGTTCAATGATTCAGTCAATTTCACCAAATTCGGCATCTATCCACTCTAATCAAACCTAAAACTTCAGCAAAATATGGCGACTTTAATCTTATTCTCCTGTTATGGGACCTCAAAATTAGTTGATGGCTTTCATTACCCGTGATCTTCTGAGCTTTTAGACACCAAAATCACAATGATCTAACGGTTCGATCATCGGAACCACCCCTTACCTCCTCAGACGGCGGCGGCGGCTCCATTTTTCGGCAAACGACGGCGGGACCGTGAAATTATCATAGGGGTTTTGCTCAGCGTTCTTCTCTGATGCCATTGACACTGGCAGTGTCAAAAATGGCGGTCGAGAAAGAGATGAACGGCGGCGGTGGTGGCGGTAACTCTGGCCTCATGGACAGTGGTGCTCTGGCCATATCGACCTATGAAAAAGGTTGGGTTTCTTCGTCTCTTCATTCTGAATCCATAAGAACTAAAATCACCTTGATTAGATGTCGGATAGAGGAGATATCTTGATCAGAAACTTTAGTTATTTTCAGAACTTCGGTCGGCGATTGCAACTGATTCCGGCAGAGTTGGAGGTCATGCGACATGTAAAGAAGTGAATGGCATTAATGATTTCATCACTTTTCGACTCCTCATAATTTCTTGTATGATGAGGGCTTCTCATCTATCAACGGGGTTAATCCTCATCTCTATACATATGTCTAAACTTTCAACTTCTAACGAGAAGGGTTATACAAGGTTATAAAATTAATTAGGGCTAGCAATCCGGGTAGCGACACGACGACACGACTCGAAACCCGCACGAAATTAGCAGGTTTTGGTTTATCATAAATAGGTATGGGTCAAAATCAGGTCGAACTTGAGAAACACGATTAAATAACGTGTCATTTTTAAGTTGACCCGCCAACCCACAATTGACCCGCCATAACATGTTTATTAAATGTGTCATATTTGGGTAACACGAATACCCAACCCATTTATTACCCATTTTATAAATAAGTTCAAAAATAGGTTAAGAAATAGGTTAACACGAGCTATTTATCACTTATTTTATAAACAGGTTCAGAAATAGGTTAATACGACCTATTTATCATCCATTTTATAAACGGGTTGACAGGTAATCAACGAGTTGACGCGACACGTTTATGACCTGTTTAATAAACAAGTTATTCGTGTCGTGTCGTGTCAACCCGCTAATATACAGGTCATGTTTAGGTTTTGTATTTTGACACAATTAATAAATGGGTCGTGCTCGTGTCAGACCTATTCATGTCAACTGAAGAGGTTAACACGATACGAACACAACCCGCCAACACGAATTGCCGCCCCTAAAATTGATGAACAAGGATCATAATGAACATGATTCTTGTACAATACTCAAAAGGTTCTATATTCTCAACATCTAGCCAAGCACCTTAAGTTAAGTGCTTAGGGAAGTTATTCACTTAATCAGACTCGGATTATCTAAAAGAATTATCCAATTTACTCAGTTATTTACTTTCGCATCTTGGTTGATTTGACGCCCATCACGAAAACACATGTAAACCGTATTACGTCTCTAAATGGAAGAAAACTAGTTCTTAATGAAACTAGACATCTAAAGCTTTCCAACGAGCTATTACATGCCCTATTTCAAATATTTTAAGTCTTTCAAACACCTCTTACAAGGAATTGAAATTCTGAATCTTAGCTTTTCAAGGCATTATGAAAAGTTTCTAAGCGAAACTTCAACTACACACATCTCAGCCTACAAAACTCCAAACAGAGTGATTCTAAGTCATACACCTCATTAATGATACACAATAAATAGTATGATAAGTCTATTAAGTGTAGCAATCCCGATTCTAGAAGTTGGGTACAAATTCACACTTTTTGCGTTATGTCAAGAACGTAATTTTGACCTTTTCGACGGAAATGATCATAAAACATTCCACATAGATCTAAAAGGTGTAATTTTAGTTTCTAAATAAATTAGACACCTTAAGCTTCGAAATGAACTATCATATACCAAAATTTGAGCTCTGTAAGTACCTCAAAAATAGCTTTCAAGAAATCAAAATTCTATTATTTCCTGGCTCTGACAGCTTTTTGAAAGTTTTTACATGAAACTTTCAATGCCCACAACTTACGTTATTCTAACTCTCACACGTCACTAATAAAATGTTCTAAATGGTAGTAATATTGGTTTAGGTGCAGCGATGTTATTTCAAAAAGTAACGGTCTCAGTTCTTTGTTTTATCAATTCTTAGAAAAGACAGCTTTGGCGGCTATTACGGGAATAATCATAAAATATTTTACACACACCTAAAAATTACAAAATTAGTGCCTAATCGAAGTAGACATATGAGGCTTTCCAAAGAGCTATTATAAGCTTCATTATGGGTCTGTTAAAGTCTTCAAAAATATATTATACCAGATCAAAACGTGGCTATTTTTCTACAGAATTCCTAGAAATTAAGCTTAACTTCAAAAATGCATAACTTGAGCTACGGTTATCCGTTTTGGATGATTTTCATGGCTATGTGAAGCTTATAAGACATACTAAATGATTCTACACTCAATGTAAGTGCAGCAACTACAGTTTCAAGTTTGGATCTCCAGGGCATGAGTTTCTAGTTTTTACTCCATATGTAAATTTGACACATCTTAGTAAAACATGCACAACTAATTCCGCGGGACTCCTAAATCGATGTCTCCAGCTCCTATAGGAACTAGACACATAGGTCTTCGATTCGGTATATTACATGTAAGGTTCAGAAACCAACAAGGCTTTCAAAAACATGTTACAAAAAAAATGAAGTTATGT